ACAAGGATGCTAAAAAAAAAAAACGAAAACAGCATCAATGAAACATTGAAAAATACACTAAAGAGCACAAGAAAATTCAGAAGGAGACCCAGGTAGACGGGCCAGGGTTGGCACAGTTGTGTGAAACGCCTCACATGCTTTAGAAAACCCAGTCTGTGGGCATAGAGAGAGCCAGAGTTTCATATATAATACTTTTTCTCTTCTCTATATATGGAAATGTTAGTTGCTGAGTTCATAACTGAAAGAATAAGCTTAATACAAAGGAAATTGATAAATTGGAGAATATCCCGAGGATGGCTGGGGTGCTATCAGGGGTGTCAAGTCCATGGCAGGGAGGTCGGCTTGAAAGAGCTCCAGGTGTTTTGCATGGGCAAGGCTGTGAGAACTTCCTGCAGGTATTGGAGATGCTCTCATGTAGAAGAGGAATTAGGCATTTGAGGAAGTGGAGCAGTGGGTGGAATCCTGGCAGCTCAGGGTTGAAAGGGCCCTCAGCCCCTTCCTGAGAAAGGGTATCCCTGTGGCCTGATGCCTAAGGGGGTTGGGGATCTCCCCTCTTCAAGCAAAGCCTGGATGCCCACGTAATGACTAGGTTGTAGTAGAGTAGGGTTGGGCTCACGGCCAGTAAAGTCCTTTTTAGAACCCAAGATTCTGGGCTTCTTTGAAGACTAGTTTTCCTCCTTTATACTTTTGACACATTGTTGCTTGTTTTGCCCATTGGGGCCGAGCGAATCTAGCCCCCCTCTTCCAGAAGAAGACAATTCAGATGAAGCATGCCGCTGTCATGTGCCCCTTTACCATCGCTTATGCATGTCATCACCTTTCTCAGCTCGGTTTAAGAAACACTCAGTGTCTGATACACTCTCCAAGGCCTTGGGACTGATCTGCCTGAGAATTTCCTTCCCTCTGCTTTGTTACACATTCCAGATCAGTCTCCAAGTCCTGTCAATCCTGCCGGTGTCTAATCTCTTACTTCTTTGCTATTCCCACTGCCGCCATCTTGGCCCAGGCCCTTGTTAGCCTTCAGCCGCACCATCACACGAGCTTCCCAACCGTCCTTCCGTGACTCTGGTTCTTCCCTTTCCGTCCTTTATGCACACCACATTCTAATGTTGTTCAGGCATTTCAGTCGTATCCTACTCTTTGTGACCCCATTTGGGGTTTCTTTGGTGAAAATACCGAAGTAGTTTGCCATTTCCTTCTCCAGCTCATTTTATAAATGAGAAAACTGAGGCAAACAGGGTTAAGTGACTTGCTCAGAGTCACACGGCTAGTAACTGTATGAGGCTGGATTTGAACTTTTATCTTCCTACTACAGGCCCAGCTCTCTATCCACTGTACCATTCAGCTGTCCCACATTCTAATACATTGGTCTTTAAAACAAACAAACACCATTGATATTTCTATTTATTTATTTAATTTTATTGTAATAATCTGCCTTTTCTCTCTCTCATATCCCACCCCGACCCCCAATGAGAAAGCAAGCTAAACAAAACCTCTAATATAAACAAGCGGGGTCAAGCAAAAGAAATTCAAGCATCAACCATGTTCCAGAAAAATGTCACAAACAACTCTGAATCCATCACCTGTCTATCAGAAGGTGGGCTTAGGGTTAGGGTTATTTTGAGTTCTCTGGAATTGTGGCTGGGGATTGTGTTGATCTGAGTTCCTAAATCTTGGGGCTGCTAGGTGGCACAGTGGATAGAGCACCAGCCCTGCCGTCAGGAGGACCTGAGTTCAAATCCGTTCTCAGACCCGACACTTGACACTTAACCTCAGCAAGCCACTTAACCCCATTGCCTAGCAAAAGAAAAGAAAAGAAAAGAAGAAAGAGAGTTCCCAAGCCTCTCAAAGTTGTTTGTCTTTTGTTGTTACATAAATCATGCTCCTGATTCTCTTCACTCTGCATTGGTTTGGGTCTTCCCAGGTTTCTCTGAAACCAGTCCCACGTTTGCATACCATAATTTGTCCAGCCACTGCCCAGTGGATGAATGCCCTGTCAATTTCCAACTCTTTGATTTCACAAAAATAACTACTATAAATATATCTCATACATGAGTCTTTTTCTTCCGTCTTTGACCTCCTTGGGGTATAGCCTAAGTAGCAGTGTTTCTGGGTCAAAGGGTATCAACTTAATAGCTCTTTGGATGTAGTCCTAAATTCCTGTCTAGAATAGCTGGACCACTTGGAATTAATGTGCCTAACAGCCTGGTTTTAATGGTATAGGTACGGCCATGACATTCCTTGCCTGAAGTATTTCAATGACTCTGTTGCTTAGTGAATAAACACCAACCTCGTCAGACTGTCTCTTAAGACCTTCTATCTTTCTATCACACTCTTCTCCGTCATGGAGTCTCGGCCCAAGTGCGTTGACCTTGTCCCCTGAACGTGTCCTAGGTGCCTCGGCTCACGCTGTCCCTAGGCCTTGTGGGGCCTTCCCCTGCTCTCTTTGCCTGATGATATCATCAAGAACCAGCTCAAATACTATTTCCTCTCTTACACTCTCTCTTGATTCTTCCAGCTGCAAATGATGTCTCCCTCATCTGATCTCATAGCAGTTTATAATCCTATGACATACTTTTTGGAAGGGAAGAGTGCTTCTGGACCTGTAATTTCATCAGGGTGAAAAAATCCTGGTATAGAAAACCCTTCCACTTATTCAGCTCACCCTCTTGCTTGTTAATGCAGTAGTTTAGGTGACGAGCCCAGGATAATTCAGCTGGTATGTGAACTCATTGCTCTGGCCTCCTCCTATCACACATTGTAGGTGTTTAATAAACGCTTGCTGACTGAAGCTATCCACTAGCCCATGCAGCCGCCCAGAGGCTCCCAGAGCATGAATCGTATTATAATTTCCTTGGGTTTAGCTTGTTCCTTGCCCAATCTCTATTCTCGATTGTAAGCTCTTTGAGGGCAGGAGATTGTTTACAAATTTGAACGAAACCTTGTCTTATTTAACCTGCTTCCTGCCTGAAGTGGAGTAAGTGAAGGCTGGAAGAGGCCCTGGTGGTCACGGGCCCGTCTGGCACAACAACCTAGGACGGGTCTGCCCCTCAGCCTCGACTTGTGTGGTTCTCTGAAGGGGCGCCATGAACTGTGTGGGAGTTACGCTTGCTGTCAAATCACACAGTCTCGCTCACGTCTCAGCAGCTGGAATCTGCCCGATCACTCACAGAAAAGAACAAGACTGAACATAGGCAGAGAAAAGCCTGAGAAGTCTATTCAGATGACCCCTTTGTCTCCCCCTTTTTGATTAGACCTGTGGTTTCATTGGTGCAAGGAACTTCTGGTGAGGCCAATCCTTTGCCTATAATTTCCACTCCACGAGCTGCCTGGGTATACTGAGAGGTCACATGATCTGCCCAGGGCCATATCTATTAACATAGGTATTAACTGTAACACAGGTGGAACTTTGAACCCAGATCTTCAGGACTCAGAGGCAGAGAGGAGCTCTCTATTCACGCACTGGCCACCCAACCACCATCCCACTCCCATCTTTCCCTTCAGCACAGAAATTCCCACTTCCAGAGCCAGCAAACTTCAAAGGCAATCCACAGCTGTGGGGAAAACGAAGGTTATGCCATTAGAAGCTTGGACATCGTCTCTGGCCCAGAGCCTCAGCTTTGAAGCTGGCCAGCCCTCCTCCTCTGGCCTTCCTCCCCTAGGCTTGCCTCCTCTAGGGCAGCTCCAACGTGGGGCCCCACTGTACTAGTAAATCTGTGGGAGCCACAAGGTCACCATCTTTGGGTTACTCTGATGCACAGCTCCCTGGTGATTCATGTTGCATTGACCTGATGACTGGGTTTTTTCTTAAGATGACAGATGACTTCAGTTAATTGTGAGATGGGCTCTTTTCAGCTTTCTTAAATTCCATGCTCTAAGAAGCCTGAGAACTGGGTTTTAGATTCAGTTAATGCCAAATAGTAGAAATTTGGGAAAATACGTTCCAAACACTTTTGACAATTTGGCAATGTGTCCCTTAACCTTGTTAGGGCTTAGTTTTCTCATCTGTAAAATGGGAGATTAGACCAGATGACCTCTGAGGTCTTTTCCATTTCTAGATCTGTGATTCACAGACAAAGAAATGGAATAGTCTTTGCTCTCTAGAAACTATAACTAAGTTTGAATTCTGCATATTTCCATGGGGCTAGAACTAATGACTATATTTTACATAATTATAGCTTCAAATGGTGTGAATTAGAATATGTTCTATTGGGAAGACTTCTTTGTCCTCTTGAAAAAGACTTTTCAGATCCATAAAGTCCTTTCATGGAAGATTTGAATATCAATTCCAATCCAACCAGCATTTATTAAGAGCCTATTATTTGCAGTACAATGCACAAATTAAAAGGAAAAAAGAAACAACCCCTGCCTGGAGATTCCATTTCATCAGAGGAGACAATATTGTACCTAAACAGATGTGGCGGTGGGGGTGTCAAATTATCAGGGCTAACTGCATGGGGTGATTCTGATCCCATACTTATAAAGGGAGATACAAAATAGAAACAAGATAATTTGGGGGGAACACATTTGCAGATGGAGTGATCAAGGAAGGCTTTGTGTAGCAGGTGTTACTTCAATCAATTAATCAATAAACATTTATAAAGCACCTACTATGTTCCAGACACTGTGCTGAGCATTGAGGATACAAAAGGAGGCAAAAGACAGTCCTTGCCCTCAAAAACTTCCAATGTAATGGGAGAGGCAAATTATGAGCAAGAATATACAAAGTATGCTATATGCAAGATAAATTAGAAATAATTGATATCCTTTGAAAGAAACAAAGGATTCTGGTAAGCAGAGGTGAGAATGAGATATCTGCCATCTGTGGGCAATCTGTGCAAAGACACACAGGGAGGAGAGGAAACAATGTGTTTGTGCCCCCACAGTGGATGGCACTAGCTTGTGGACCGGCTTGAACCAATCTCCGTGAATGTAAATGGGTGTCTGTGTATATCCGGAGTGAGCCTCCATTGAACTACTCCTTTGTTTCCCTTTCTTAGATCATGATGTTGAAAATGATCTTCAACCAGACCTCTGTGGAACACTGCAAGATGCCGAAACCCGAAACGAAAAGGCCGAAGGAATGCGACTTCTTCCTGACCGCTGTGCGCCTGGCTTCCCTGAACCAGATCTTGGACCCCTGGGTCTATCTGCTGTTGAGAAAAATCCTCCTGCGGAAGTTCTGTCAGGTAGCAAACGCCATGTCCAGCTGCTCTCACGATGGACAGAAAGGGCAGCCTGGCTCGTTAGCCAACGAGATCGTGCAGACAGGAGCATAAGAGAGAACATTTGAGCAGCTCGCATGCTCACTGCTTTGACAACGAGTAGTCTTAAACCTTGCTGTGAATTCTGGCATCTGCGGCATGCCTGTGTTTGTGTATCCAAGTGGAATGAATTTTTTGACATCAGGCTAAATGGCCTCAAAAGACCCCAAAACCCCATGAGTGCCAAAAAAAATAATCTTGCAATATAAACAAATGGAAATCTATCTGCAACCATCTAGCATTGCCTTGTGTCTCTTCAGTGTGTAGCTTACAATGGGATTCTGCACCTTGCTCGCTCTGGAGCTAAATGTGGGCTGCCCAGGGCTCCAACGGGGTAGCCTGCCTCTGATTCAGTTCAATTCCAGCCTTGGCTTAACGCTATTTCCCTACATGAGCAGCCATTTTGAATGTCATTATTCTCCCGTATTACTTTTGACTTACCCTGTATATAGCTTATATGTGATTAGCTGTGTAAATGTTTTCCCATGGTAGAATAGAAGCTCCTGGGGCACAGGAATCCTTTCACTTTGGTCTTTATATGCCCAGAACTTAGCATAGTCCCTGGCATACAGTAGGTGCTTAATAAATGGGCAAATGAATGAATAAATGAAACAAGTATTTATTTAGTGCCCGCTATATGATAAGCACATAGTAGGTACTTAATAAATACTTGTTGGGTAATTGATGAATGAATAAAACAAGCACTTATGTAGTAGGTACTTAATGAATGAATGAAAGTGCCTGCTGTATGACTGCACTATGCTGGGTGCTGGAAATCCAGAGACAAAAATGAGAACAGTCCTTGCTCTGCAAGAGCTGGGCAGGGGTGGAGGAGACTGGTTTTCTTTTTAAATAATTTTTAAAAGAAATGTTTGAGAACATTGGCCTTCCTCTCCCCCTTTCTCTGGCCCTGTATCTGTCAGTGAGTGTCCATCTGCCTGTTTCTCTCTTTAACCTCGCAGAGACCAAGACCACAGGGGACTTGATTGCTTTTCCCCTTTCACTCTTAAATGGTCGGGCTTGAAGACAAAACAAAGACAACATCATGCATTCTCAAAATGAATTAACATTGATATTCTTTGCCATCATGTTCAATATCTCAGCATTAAATCTTTATCTCACACTATTTAGTGGTTGTCTTGGTAACTGCATCTACCCAGCATCCTAATAAGAGTCATTTAACTGACTTTTGAAAATGGCAGGTTGGTAATGGGCATGCCTGCTCAAGATGGCTGAGTCTGGTGTGTTGAGTTAACCTTGGGTTTTTGTTTTTTTTTTTTGCATTGAATCAGCTGAGTAAAGTTATCTTTTCCAGTTAATGACTCCCAGACCTTTGGGTCTTCTGTGCCTTTTGCTGGTCTGAACCTACTAGTCAGAAATTGGGGAGAGGTGAGTGAAAAATCTGCTGAAGACACTACCTAACAATTTCTCTGAGTCTCAGCTTCCTCCTCTGTAAAATGGGGGTGACGGTAATAGCATCTATCTCACAGGGCTATTGTGAGGTTCTGATGACACAATGCACTTAAAGGGTTTTGTAAACCATAGCATTCTCCACTCTTCATCTCCTCTAATTATATCTTTAAATAATACTCTGACGTCGAGACCACCAGCATTGCTAGAAATCTGGGGTTAGGGCTGTCTATTTTGTGGATCCAGGTTTAAGCCACACAGTCTAAAATGGCAGAGTGCCTATGTTTGTTTGTTTTCTTTAGCGGCTGATAATTAAAATGTTGTTTCTAGAGAGAGTTTCTAGCCACAACAGCCAATCCTCGAGCCGTCTGTATGGTGACTGCTCTGAATTCCTACCTACAATGTGTCAGGCACTTGCTAGGCACTGGGGACACAAAACCAAAAATGAAACCGTCCCTGCCTTCATGGAGGTTACAGCCTACTGGAGGAGGGTTTCTTTGTCTTTTTAAAAGACCTAGTTAGAAAGCCCCTTTGAGGCAGTTTGGAAAGTCCCATCCAATGCACCGGATGTTCATTAAGGGACTTGTGGCAGAGGGTGGGGTTAGAAAGACAACAGAGACAGCGCCAAAGACAACACCAACAACAAACCAGTCCCAGCCTGCGGGAAGTTTACACCTAGAAATAAACTTTGAGCTCTTTTTTCTGTATTAAATACGCAAGCTCATTCCGAATTTCCTTTTTTGTGTGCCTCTCTCTCTGTTTCATTCTCTTCCAATCTCTTTCTCTCTGTGTGTCTCTTTCTCTCTCTCTCT